TATGCGTCATATATCATCTCTGTGTCATTGGAAGTATTTTGGTAGCTTTAGCAAATGTTAAATAGCTATTGCTATTTGGAAGGGCCAAGAATATATTCCTATTTGGCTCTATTAAGAAAACTCGTTTCCAGGTTCAAATTTGAAGATTTTTCAAACTGTTGAGATGTCTCATTTTCAGTTCATATAATGCATGCCGTGTTGCTTTTTATCATTCAAGTGTCTTAATAAAAAAAAAAAAAAATCCCATGTGGAACAAAGTCATATAAATGACGAGTAGAAGCCTGTTACAACAAGGATAGTATCGTATTTTATTTTATTTCTAGTCTCACTGAAAAAAAATTGAGTGTGCTTGACAAGGTTTATTTTTCTATGCCGGTGATATCCTCCTTTGAATGAGTCTCATGATCGCCGTTCCGTTATTATGCTCAGGATTAACTAGTAGGTCATTAATCTTGGGTCATCCTATTTACTTTCTTAAAATAAAGTACACTGGTACCTTTCCTTCTTGTTGTCCAAAGCTTTCAGACAGCTCCAGTTTTTGGCAAATTCTAACTTTGGATTTACTTTAAACTTCTAATTTCAATTCCCTTATCTTTTTTTCTATTTTTTTAGCTCTAAAAGTTCCATTTATACATTCATTTTTTGTGTGTGAGGAGTATACTTTATGAGCTGTTTCAATCTGCTGTAAATCAGACTTTCTGCAGAACTTGCAGAAGCTTCCCTTCCCCCCCCCCCCATGATTGTTGGCTTGTGATTTTTGGTGGACTAAGAAGAAAGTTGTTAAATGAGTTCTCATTACTGGGTTTTTGGGTATTCCACTGGCTTTGTGGAATTGGCTTTATGAAAGCGTCAAGTTCGTATATTACTGGTTTGAATTTTATTGTGTGTGCAGATAACACATAATCAAATCACTTGCATTTAGGCAGCCATTGCTGTTTAGTCTGTAATCATTTCTTTATTGATCGAAGTTCAGCCTTGTGTTAAATTAAAAACTTCATCTATGTAGAGGGAGTTAAGAAACAAATGCTTTTTTAATTCCTAAAAATCAGAAACACAAGACCTTGAGATTGTTATTCAGCCTTGAGTCTTCCTCATTGGTTGAGCTCATCCGTGGTGCGATTTGATGATCTGTAATAGATGCCAGCTGTTATTTCATCTTGCTATTATTCCAACCTATTATTTTGCTTGGTAAACATTGGTCCATAAGTACTTCTGTAAGTGAGAGATGGGTTGAGATACCAAGACATTTTCATTGTTCTGAACATAATTTGTTATTATTATAAAATGTCCATAGTGGGTGAGATCAAAGGGCTGTCTATCTCCATAGCCTGTCTGACAGACAATGGAGAAGAACACAAGAAAGAGGAAAAGTATTCTGGTAGAAAAATCTGTATTTTTGTCAACTTGTGCAGGCTGCCCTCTGGGACCACATAGTATATGTATTTTCAAATTTGATCTCAACTTGATTTTTGGCAGGGCAAAAACAGAACTGTGACTCATGAGGGAAATTTGGGAGACAATCTTAATTTCCACCTCTGCATGAATTGGTATTTGTCTCTTGTACCTTGCTGTGGGGAGGCGAACAACCTTGTTGTAAAATATTGTTGCCTTTTTTTAATTGCCTTACTCATGCCTTAAATGTCAAAATAAAACCCAGAATCTTATAGGCGCTGAAGATGTGACTGCCGCAAAATTACACATCTCCTTTAGAAGGCAATGTTTGTCAATGGTAAAAGATTCTTATGAGCTAAATTCATGTAAATGCCTTTTAAGGACTGTAATTAAATCTGTTCCAATACTTTAAAAATTAAGATGATATTTATCAAGGTGGTTTTCAGAGACATAGTAAGTGAATTACTTGCTGGTAAAGTTTTACACCATTTCGGGAGGCAATGCCATTTCCTTTGGACCTCCAAATTCAGTAGTTAATCACAGTATTTTTTGCCTTAATTTTTTCTATTTAGTTGTAGTGATTCAGTGAAGCTCTTTGAGGAATTGCAGTTCGCTCTGGGTGCAGTTCTGTGATATGTTTTTATTCTCAGTATGAAAAGTTCCTGCCTACGTGTCCCTGCCCTCGTGGTCCTCTAAGGGATGGTTCTTTGAGAAGGATAACCAATTTATGAAGAAGAGAATTGTGCTGAGTTTTTTTTAACCTGAATATTGGTGTTGTGGTCCCACAAAGAAGCGTCTCAGACAGGTGCGAAGGTGATGAGCTGTGGCAGGAAAGCAAAACTTTGCAAGGGGAAGCCCTGGTGCCAAAGATGACGTATAATGGAGCGTACCCCCTCGCTGCTGCTTTGGAAATAGAAATCAGCCGCCAAGGGCTTGCTTATGCCGTAAACAAGTACTCTAGTTTAGTTACGTTACACTTAATTAAAAAAAAAAGGAAAATATTTAAGGAAGCAAAAATAAGATATAAAGAAATAGTCTTCTCTCCTTTTCCTTCCACCTTCTTTTTCCCAGTTTTCTACATTTCTGTCAGAGAAAATAAATCTGCTCTTGGCTATTCCAATTCCCCATGGAATACCACTGTATGTGCATTTTTCTCTTTACATGTATTGAATAAATGCACTTTTCAAAATCCTGATCCCACTTCTTTGCTTATATTTCAATTCCTTTATAGTCAAAAATGCTTTACATATTTTGGAGAAGAATCTACTAGTTGGAAGTCCTTTTTATTCCAAATTCTTCCTCTTTGTGAAATTATCTGTATCTTCTGAAGCAGAGAGACACCAGATTTAACCTGTTCTTGCTGCACCCCCACCCCATAAGCATCACCAGGTTGGTTTTAACCGATGATTCTGTCTCTGCAGCACTAGATGGTGCTGATGACAGTATCTCTGAAATCTGAGCCTTCAAAAATACCAGTGATTGGAAAAGTAGTGCTGCTGTTTCAGGCCAAGGACCAGTTTGCAAATCTAAATTTTGATTTGACCAAAAATTTCAGTCTGTGAATACAGGCTGATTATGGAGGGAAAAAGTTGGAAACGCTAGTAGTGTATCTTATTTCTGTGTTGGTTCTTTTTATCAGGGCATGTTCTAGTGGTTTTGACTAATAGCTGTAAATTAGTGGGAGGTTGGCATTTGGTCCCAGGAATGACACGTCTTGTCGAGGCTCTGTTGGATAGCACAAAGAAAAAAAATAAGATTCCCGTTTTCATGACATCAAGTATATTGCGTTATCCTGAAAACACCAAATGTTCTCAACCCTTGTAACCACCACAGAGGTCTCATAATGTCATTGATGTTCTTGCCGTATCAGTCCAGTCGTGATTATCACCGCCCCAGCGATAGTGTCCTGGTGGGACTGGGAGTCGGGCAGCCGCGGCACCGACCCTGGTTTTGGCCGTGCTGTTTCGAGCCCATTCCTCGTGCTGCCAGACTCTGGCTGAACCTTGAGGATGGTGCAACCTACCCAAGGGCTCTCACGCGGGTTAATTAGATGCCTTAAGTGCGGTGAAGACCATCCTTAAAAGGAAGCTGTTCATCTGTTCTAAGAAATACCTGACGGAAGAGGTGTTGGGAAATGGTGGAATTTACTGAGTTGGCTCTTGAGAAGGGAGATTTAGGCTTGAGAAGCGTAACTAATTCCTTGTGGCAGTGAGAAGCATTCAAAAAGCCTTTTCCTGAGGCTTTTGGCTAGCAGCGAGGGGACAAGGACTGGTACTCCGAGGAATCTACTTTACTGTCTGTGAAGGATACAATATCAATGATAAATTTTAAGTAAAAATATAAAGAGGGCCTCTTCAAACACTGAGCGTCATTTCTTGAGGCAGAAAACTTTTCCAAGCACATACTTCTGAGCACTGAAGCTGTCCTCCAGCTCCAAGAAATAGAAGCTATCTAGATTATAACACGGAGGTAGTATTTTGCCACTTTAATTTTTTTAATTACTAAACTGGCTTTAGTATTTTGTAACTGAATCTGGTGAACAAGAAGTCTGCCGCTTCTCCTTGTCCCATCAACAAGTGTAAGCAACTCCAAGAGCAGCATGCTCAGGCTTTAGTGCCTTTTACTGGTGCTTATTTGTCAAGGCAGCCTTTTTACCCTCTAAGGACCAACACAGTCATCCTAGGAAAGCCTGCTAGGAGTCCTGTAATGCTCCAAAAAGAAACCAGAAGAATGTTTTTGGACACAGAAAGCCTGAAAACATATGACTTCTGCCACTATGGGGAGGAGGGAAAGTGGGTTATCTGTGAATTGAAAACCATGTTTGAGGTATCCGGGGGCTTTACAGAAGCTTCTGACTCCTCCAAGCTGCTGAGCACTAGCTGGTGGCCTTTGTCCGCTGCTTCTGCTTCCTTCTCATCTCTCCTTCCACCATTGCAGTCAAGTTATATTCTCATATATCAGATTATACCAGCCTCCCTGAGTGTCATTGCTATGCTTTCTTTCAAAACGCATGAAAACAATGTTTATTTCTCTGTATGTATATGGTCCTCTGATTTCACAGGTTATTTATAAAGCTAAGGTAATGCCTTATTCTTTGACTTAAGCTAAAATAAATTTGGAAAGAATAGGTACTAGTAAAATGCAAAAACTCAGCCTCCAAATACCCAAAGCTTCTGTCGTACACTTGGATTCTTCCTGTACTAAGCAATTAGGTTATTGAAATGAATAATACACAAGATGCTTAAGAATATATTGCATGAGGTGCTGCACTTAAAAATTGCATTTTAGCGAACACATACTAGTTATGAACTGAAATTGCATGTATACATTCCTTCTGCTACAGTTTTTTAAGAATTTAACCATGAACATATGATGTTCCTCACATCGTTTATTGTATAGAATATTTCTAATTCAAATTCTGCTGTTGCTTAGCCCAGATGTTAAATAAATAAATAAATTCTATAACTCTTGTGCATTGTGTTCTAAAAATCTCTTTATTCAGGTTTGTGCGTATAATAAAGCAACTCTTCTGACTGGATAGTCTAACTATTTCAGAACATTATTGTGAATTTATTTAAATATTTTTTCTCCTTTTTTCTTCCTTCCAGTTTATTTTCTTTGTTGTCTAAAAAACACAACAAAGTGCTGGAGCAAGCCACGCAGTCCTTAAGAGGTTCCCTCGGTTCAAATGACTCTCCGCTTCCTGATTATGTGAGTATTGAACGTAATGTTTTAGTAGGTGCTTCAAAATAGAAGTGGTAACATCCCTAAATCTGCAAAGATTTATCAAAATGTGTGACAGCTAAGCAACCACCAACACCAAAATACAGGAACCTGTATGAATGATGTCATGTCTGAAACGTCTTTAAAAAAAAAAAAAAATTACACTTACAAATGGCAAAACAAAACCGCAACTATTCATAGCTAAGAGACTTACAGTACCCTGTCAACTTGCAATTTTCAAGCCATTTGTGTTTCAGGATATTTAAATCATACAGTTAAAAACATTAATTTTAAGAACGGGGCTTTGGCATCCACAGTATGTTAAAATGCCTAAAAATGATTGAAAACAATTCCCAGTGAGCCTTTAGCGGGGAGTACTGCAGTCACGGGGCAAATTAGTATGTTCTGAACACATGGATACATACAGTCCTCTTCAGTTTACTGAGCCAATACCCACAAACAGGCAACGATTTTGTAATTTAATTGCATGGCTTGTTGGAAAATCTCTAGTTTTGGTACAAGAAGGAGACGTCTTCCGAGGACTTGAATAATATCTTTGTACTACTGAAGTATCTTTGGTTTGTACTCATTTGAACTCTCACTGCAATACTGTGTAAAAAAAAAAAAAAAAAAGATTTATCTTGCTCTGGATTTTTGAGGATGAAAATGTAACAACTGTTTTATTTTCAGTGTTAACACATGTTCCGGGACATGCCTGCCTAAGACTGTACATATCATATTACTCTAGCGCTAGGTATAAAAATACCTAAAAAGATAATTTGATATAGTAGTTTAATGACTTAAGTCTAATTCAACTAATGAAGTTTCTTACCCTGTGTCTTTTAGGTATTATTGCTGACACGTACTATACAAACTAGAGGCACTCGGTTATTCAGAGACATGTGGGTTTATAGAACAAATGAAGCACTCGCAGGTTTTTCCTGTGTATGCCTGCTGTCTTACCATGCCCTAATTCATGTGAAGCTCCTTACAACACTTGTGGTTTCTGATTTCTCTCCCAGAAGTTGCTATCTGACCTTTAATTTTTGGAACTTGTAAAACATTTCAGCAAGAACCCACTCAAGTTAGGTTGTGGTTAAAGAGCAGGAGATCCCACTTCTCTTTGCCTGGTAAGGTGATACACGAGCTGGATAAAGCTCTTTCATCTGCATGGGGATGAACAACTGAAAGCTCCCCAAGACTTCAGACCCCTTGGAGAGGACTTGATGACCCTTTCCCATGGGTTTGCTTCTCAAGGAATAGGGGTTCTTGGTATATGGGTTTCCACGGTGGTGAGGACTTGCAGGATTTTGGATGCACTGAGCGTTTCTGACTACTGTGATTGATAAGGCTCTTGGGGCTGTATTTCTCAGAGGTGATTGACGCCGCCGTCATGCCAGGGTCCAGCTTAAGCAATTCCACCGCTACGTGTTCGAATTCCTCCTGTGGTCTCATGGCTCTTTGTTGAGCTGTCTCGGAGAGCTATGGTGCTTCACTTGGCTTCCAGGGCAACGGGAGGCTGCTTTGGTGGAGACGATGGCTTTTCATACCTGAGATCTATCACGTCATATATCATATCATGAGACAGTTCTGCGTAACGTGCGGTATCACAGCCCAGAGGGGTTGGAGTGAGTGCTTGGGACAGGGTTTATGGGTACAGGGGCTCCATAAGCTGGAACTGCTGCTGAAGACTCTGTATTTTGAAAATAACCTCTGAGACATTGTGGGGTCTTCGTTAAATGACTGTCGGGCATCTTCAGATGCCTAGAGAATAGGGCTGAAATTTCTAACACTAACTTATAGAGTCCCTAATGCAGGGACTACAGTTGTATGTAGCCTGTTGTCAGAAGGAGGATATTGATATTTCGTTGAAGATGTCCCTGCTCATTGTGGGATAGTTGGACTAGATGATCTTTCCAGGTCCCTTCAGCCCAAACTGTTCTATGATTTATGAAAAGACACCCTTGTATTTTCCTCCCTAGAAGAAAACAAACAAATTACCAAATTACCATCCCCACTGTTCAGAGGAAAGAAAACAGCATGATGCACACATATCTTTGTAAAAGGGCACATATAAATAAATATGTATATATGCACACACACGCATAGGCACGTATTTACATATATGTGGGTATATATAGGTATATATTTCAGTGTGTGTTTGAATTTGGTGCTTGAAATCTATTTCATAGATTTTGGACTTCTTTTTAACTTACTGGATGTGAACTACATACTGCAGCTAAGGAAAGACCCAAGGTGCTCTCTGATCAAAGTTATCCCCTTACAGATGGAGACAGCTGAGAAATGCAGTTTATGGAGCAGTGCTGGGGAAGCACTCTGGAGTGCAGCCCAGAGACTTAGATACTTCACTGAATTTCTTCCCTTTTATTGTTGGTATGACGTAGGGAAGAAGGGGAGGAGAGCAGTTGGAAAGATTGCTGTAGGGGAGAGTAAAATCACTGAAGTTCATGCCCTGTATTTTGAAAGAATGTATACTTTTATGCATGGCTTTTTTTTTTTTTTCTGCAAATTGCTCATGTTCCAGCTCAATCTGAGACATAGGCGCTTGACTAAATAAAAGTTGAGGCCAGATTTCATTTACTTCAGCATGCTCTGCTTCTGAAAGCCTGTATTTGTGTTGTCTGTAAGAAGAGTGAAGAATCTAGGAACAGAAATAACTTAAGTGTCTGAAGTCCTGAAGCCTGTTCTACTTCTGTATCCCAGCGTGGAGCTAAAGAAAGGGATGGCACCGAGACTGCCTGTTCTGCCTCAATTTATGTCTAGAGAAGAGGAAGAGGATTGCTTAGCAGGCTATTCTCTCCATAGGTTTCATTCAGATCAGTCAAATACGTGTTTTAAAAATGTATTTCTCACGATTTTAATTCTTTTTTTATTTATTCAATTAATTTAATTTATAAAATTTTTTTTCTTACGGTGTTGTCTAATCCAAAAGTGAATTTTTATAGTACCTGGGTCACAAGGGTTAAATTGTACCTAAAATTATTCTGGGTGTTGCTTATGGTCTTGTCTTCCTTTCCATGGCTTTCTGCTCATTTGTGAGGACAAGACTTTGAAAAACAAATTATGGTAAATACTCCGTGTTCCTTCTTAGGGCCAGGAAGGCTATGGAAGGAAGGAGGCAGCATCAGTCTTGAGTTGAGCCCTGTCCATTGTGAACATCGTAGGACGGAGGGGTGCCGTGGCACAGTATGCCTGTGCCGTAACGCATACACACAAAGGGAGCAAATGGAGGTTAGATGAGATGGGCATTTCTTAATTTCTAAGATCTGGGGATCTTCCTTTACCAGGTTTTCTATGGTCTTTTTGTGAGTATCTGCCACGGACTACGGTCAGGTGTCTGGTATACCACCAAAGCTGCAGGTATCTTGCTGTGAACTAGAATAAGGACCTGACCTGGTTGGTTTTTATATTGTTCTTATTGAGGTTTTTTGGGCTTTAAAAAAGAAAAGGGCAAGTTGTTTCATTTATTAAGGCTGGACCATTTTCCTGGTCCTTTTCCTGTTAAACTGTAGTCAACGCGATGGGATTCAGGAGCAGGACGGAAGAGCCAGCGGGGAAGAGAGAAGAACCCCCTGTCATCAAACCATTGGCTTGGAGACAGGAGCTTTGGTTAGACCAGTTCTCATGCTGCTTCATTTACTAGTTGTTTAATAAGCTTTATTATTAAGCATTATTTTCATAGCAGCAATGACCTGTTTTGAAATATCACACTTCAGTCAAGTTGTCCTTGTCCGCGAGTATCTCCAGACTTGAAGAAATGGGAAAAATCTAGTTAGGTCTTTTTTTTTATTGCTTTCTTGCATTCAATGAAAGCACATTCTCCAAAATTTTTAACAAACAAGAACACTGGTAATAAAATAATTGAGAATTTTGCTTCTTTCAGTTCAAATCAAGACAAATTACTTAAGTAAACATATTGATTATTTTCTTTGTAATTTTATTACAGCCTAATGTAATTTGTTAAATCATAGATACTTAACAGCATAACTGGAGGCATCCTAACTTCCCTTGGAAAGTAGCACATCAGACCTGTTGTTGGTGCTACCATCTACCCAAACGGTTGCTTTTTAAGCTTTTCAGAGCATTGGCTGCAATTTTCGAGTACTTCAACACTTGTTATGCGGCAGCTGGTAATGAGGATTCTCCTTAACTATTTCTAGGGAGGGAGGGGAGAGAGAAGGAGATAGACAATTTTTAATTTTGGCAAGTTTATGTCAGAAGTTCAGAATTCTCTTGCTGATGTAAGAAAAAAAAAATAACTGCTTAATGCAAAAATTGAGGAAAATAAAAGTCAAATGTAGGAATAGTTTTAGATTCAAATACTTTGGCACGCATCATCACTTGAGTCTGTATGGGGATACATAGCTTTTGATTTGGTTTCTAAATTTATTTCAACATCATCTAATGCAACACAGGGACGAGGGATTTCATGTCAGCAGGAGCCCAAACTCTTGTTTACTGGTGGTGGGCGTGAAGGCTTAGTAGTTCAATGAAAACTCCTTGGAACACATTTTGAGAATCACTCAACACCCAGGGTAGGGGTCACGGTTCTGAGCACCCCACGCTGCTGTCTGCTGGGAGTTCTTCTCTCTGCCATCCGTGGGGATTTTACCAGCAGCCTTCAGTTGCTTTAATGGAATAATATTAACAGAAAATAGTGTAGGTAGGATGATCACTAGCCACATGGGGAAAAATTCTGAAATTCACTTCAGTTTAACTTTTTTTTACCTTCTAAATTTTGGCTATAAAAAATTGCATTGTTCTATGCAGATGAAGCTTAAATGTGTTAGGGAAAATTCTAAAAATAATCCCACTTAGTGCCAATATCTTCAATTATTTCATATATAGGACTGTCACTTAACCAGCACTTCGGTGGTGGAGGAATTTTGTCAGTGATAGAAACAATGTAGTGCAGTGTTAGACTTTGCATATTTACAGATGTACTCCTGTGAATATATGAAGAGCCG